TTATAGTGTTTGCAGTAAGTACGAGAGAGAGAGAGAGAGAGAGAGGGAGAGAGAGAGAGGAGGGAGAGAGAAAATAAAAGAAATAATTTGTATATTAACTCCAAATATTCCAAGTGAATTATAGGGCCACAGTCTCACCATTGTACGTGTTGATGCAGTGGTTTCTTTAAGAAGTAGGCGTTTAGAGAGCTGAGTTGTTAGCGCCACGCCTAACCAGTTTTAAATTCAGAGTTTCTATTCACTTAGTCTCTTAGGGGTCCTGGTTCACCCTGTTATTAAGTCCCAATCTATCACGGGGTTTTACTTTATTGTGAAAGCGAGCTCAAACGTCGCGGCTGGAATTTGAACCCGACTACACAGTGCCAATTTCTTCCCCGATAAACGCTACACTACAAACATATACATAGAATGAGATCAATATATATATATATATCAATTTAGTGTTTTCATCAATTTCTAGTGACAGGCATGGATGCTGACTCCTAGTTCACTTTCATACATTGCATTGAAATTGTGCTGGATCTGATTGTCTGATCTACTACCTAAGAACCATCTTACATATTACGCTTTCGCTTCTTGTAGTGTCATTTTCATTAAGGTCAGGGATCAATTATAATCACTTTTAACATGTACAAGACGATAAACTACATGCTGCTGCACGACCTCTGGTCGGGAGATGGGAGGTTTGAAGAGCGTGGAGCCACCTGTTAACTGCTGTTGTGCCCAGGTGTACCATGACCTTTGTTGGTAGCACTTTTTAGGGTGCTATGGTCAAATTGTGCACCCCAAACAGAAACAAAACACTCTTAATGTATACATTTTTATATTAAAGATACCAGTAATAGATATGTATAGTAAAATTAACAACAGTATATTTTATCTAGAGTTGAACGCATGCAGTTCCGTTTCAAAATATTTAGATTTTGGCATTAAAGAATCCATAAAGATTGATATACCGTTAAACCAAATAGACATTGCAACATAAAAAAATATCTTTCAAGATATTAATCCATATAATATTTTAGAAGATCTTAATTCAAATTCTATTCCAAAATAAAACTGCAACGAAACTACAACACACATATCACGGCTTCTAATAGATATGTCCACAAAACATTATATACCAAAAGTCGTGTATCTTCAACCAAGTATTCAGTTGCAAAAACAGAATAACATATATCATATTTTTATTACTTAAATATCTATATCTATCTATCTATCTATCTATCTATCTATCTATATATATATATATATATATATATATATATATATAGAGAGAGAGAGAGAGAGAGAGAGAGATAATTAAATAGGGTCGAAATAGAATAAGATAGATAGACACATAGATAGATAATGAATAGATAGATAGATAGATAATAAAATAGGTAGGAATAGATTACGATAGATTGACACATAGATAGATAGATAATGAATAGATAGATAGATAGATAGATAGGTCGGAATAGAATAAGATAGATAGACACATAGAGAGATAGATAGATAGATAGATAGATAGATAGATAGATAGATAGATAATGAATTGATAGATAGATAGATAGATAGATAATTAAATAGGTCGAAATAGAATAAGATAGATAGACACATAGATAATGAATAGATAGATAGATAGATAGATAGATAGATAGATAGATAGATAGATAGATAGGTCGGAATAGATTACGATAGATAGACACATAGATAGATAGATAATGAATAGATAGATAGACACATAGATAGATAGATAGATAGATAGATAGATAATGAATAGATAGATAGATAGATAGATAGATAGATAGATATAATGAACAGACTGAGTTAGATATATAATGAACACACTAAGATAGATAGATAGATAGATAGATAGATAGATAGATAGATAGATAGATACGAACATACAGGAATAGGTGAATAAATATAAATACATTAAGGTAGATTGATGGGAATAAAGAGAAGAATGAGGAAAGCTTCCATTACTCTGACGGAAATGCGCGGTGTAAGTGCTAAGTATCGCTGAAGACCTCGAATTCGATGAAATGCAGCTAGTATACGTGGCACCAAATTTAGAAGTCGCTTAAAAACATCTGGAGAGATACTGAGCTAGGCCCTCTCGAAATCTATGAACCACGCACTTATATCTGAATTTTGTGTGCGAAGAGAACTCTCCAGCATCTCTCATGGATACTACATTAGGCTCATGTCGAGTGATAATGGCGACCCTACTATTCTTTGGAAATCTCCAGGATTCTCTGAGTATCTTGAATATAGTAAGACTCTTCATTATTCTCTTCGTCTATGTCTTCTTAATCCCGAGTGTTTATTAATGCATTCATTTATCGTAACACATGCACTCTCTCTCTCTCTCTCTCTCTCTCTCTAAAACACAAACTAATCTATCCTCCCCACTCTCTACAGGGTGCGATGGATAAATTGTCTAAATTACGCAAAAAAGAAAATTATAGTGACATCTAATTTTAAAAGATATATTTACCAAAATTACACCAAAATATTTTGAAATACTGAAGACTAAATCCATTCAGTGAAATCGCCATTGGCTTCAGCCACGACCTACAGACAATTTTGAAATCTTTTGTTGGTCTCTCGTTCATTTGCGCCCCACATATCAAGTCGGTTGCAGTTTGGGGGGTTAAGTGGCCAGATGTTGGTATGGTGTGATTTGGTCGTAGAAATTGAAAGACATGACTGGGTTCTCCTGCTTGCGTAGGATGGTGTAGAGTTCTGTTGCCAGACATAGGGACTTCCAGCAGTCATCTTCTTGACCCATCGCACCCTCAAGGTACTTGATGTAGGACGCTGTGTTGAATCTGTGGCATTCTGGGAATATGGCTGAAGGCATGACGTCGCCATCAATAGTCATCACTTCCAAACATATTCGTAATAACAGACTCATCTAACTCTTTCGGAATCCTCTGTACTCTTGACACCCAAACACACTTAAATGTTTGTACTGAGTTCTCCATCGCGAATGCTAAGCAGTACAGCGCGCCATTTCGAAATAACTGGTGTGGTAAATTGCTTCCTGCTGCCCTTTTTCACAGACGATGCCAAACTGACTCTACTATACTGTACAGCCGACAAGGGCACCTCGAGGCGGAGTAATGGTTAGTAAGCTTGTCTTGCTAGAACAATTACGACTGAGTAGTGAGTTCGATCCTCACTGGGTGTCCCATAATTTCGCCCTTGTGCCACATTTAAGCTACGCTTAGAAAATCAATAGAGCACTTTGATGCGGTGTAGTGGTTAGCAAGCTAGTGTCGCTAAAACAGTTACCACTGAATAGTGAGTTCGATTCTCACTGGTGCCGCATACTTTCGGCCTTGTGTCACATCTGAGGTACGCTTGGAAAATCAGTTGGGGGCTTCGATGTGGTGAAATTGTTAGCAAGCTTGTCTCGCTAAAACAGTAGTAGTGAGATTGATCCTTACTAGGTACCACATTCTTTCGGCCTTGTGCCACATCTAAGCTATGATTGGAAAATCACTTTAGGCACGTCGGCGTGGTGTAATGGTTAGCAAGCTTGTCTTGCTAGGTTAGTTACTACTGAGAAGTGAGTTCGATCCTCATTAGATGCCCCATGCTTTCGGCCTTGTGTCACATCTAAGCTAGGCTTGGAAAATCTTTACTGTACAGCCGACAAAATCAGACAAGGCACACGCGCGAAATTAAAAATATAAAATGGCGGAAATTTTCATATCGCAGCCCTGGATTTATGTATTTGTAAAGATATCGATGCAATAATAGACGAGCATCATTTTAAAAATTTCCGGTCGCATCACATTTTCTTTTCCATGTATGGAAGAATTTTTTTTTTCTTTTTATCCTGTGAAACACACCGGATCAGTGTTTCGCGGGGCAAATCTATGGCGGCGATAATATATCAATAGAAAATATGAATGTTAAAAGTTTTGTTTTCAAATTCAGGTCACATGTAAATATTTGTAATTCTCTTACTATGAAAATTGCAGATAATTACAAACACCCACAAAAACATCTCCAATAGTAAAAAAAAGTAACAAACAAAGTATTTCCTACTGAACTCGCAAGAGGCTATAATTATTATGATATTACACAAGGCCTGACGAAGGAAATCAAAATAAAGAAAAATATGAGTTGGAGGCACGGTGAAATAAAGGATAGCGGCTCGAAGTGAGGAATCGGATAGTTCGAATTACACTCATGCTAATACCCTTGGAAAGGTATGCATCCTCTTCTTCTCCCCCCAGCTATAGGTAAATAGAAGGACATACTGGGTTCTATAGCCTTGGATGGCAACTGGTCTATCGCAAAAAGAAATCGCAAACTACTGTGGGGAAAAAATCTGCATTGTCATTCATGTATCGAAAGATACATGATCGCCTAAGCGTATATTACGCATGGCACATAACTTATTGATATATAATATTCGTTAAACATATTATCCGTAGAATATGTAATTAGTGGCTCTTGTATAAAATATTGACGTGAACACGTTAGCAGAGTATTGTTCGTGATTTGTCTGATGAAAAACACAAGTGAAATACATTAAACACAAGTTTTCCTAAACATTGGTTTATATTCCAGTTGATGTTCAATGTTAAAAAAAAATAATCAAAAACCAAGATTTTATCAAAAGACAAAGTTTTATAAAATATAGACGCACTTGAAAAATCCAAGTTCTCTCTCTCTCTCTCTCTCTCCCTCTCTCCCTGAGTAAACCATTGTTATATTTTAAATTAGCCTAGCCAGATCATTTCTATTCAACTAAGAAAAAACTCTGGCAACAGAAAAAAAAGTGTTATCTATGCTACGAAAGTTCATAATATACAAAAACTTAAAAAAAAAAAGAAAAGAAGCAAAATAAACTATGCATTAAAACTGAAAATAACAGTTCTCAAAATGTAATAATATATGATATAGTGCAAGGCTTCAATTTGCAGTCAATACTGCAGCAGGCCAATAAGGTTAGCCAAGTGCGAGGTTGATCTTAGGTCAATTCCGGACCTCAA